AGACTATAACTATTACCTTGAAAAGATAAGATTATATGAAATAATGTGTATAACCATCAACCAAGATTATGACAGCTCTCACAGTTGTCATCATTATCAATAATGTCCATTTTCCTTCTTAAATGATAGAATCAATATGCAGCATTTGACTCATTAAGTGAAATACCATTTTTGCTTCAGTTTTAAAATCTATCTTTGTGTGTGTGGGTGTGTGTGTGTGTGTGTGTGTGTGTGTGTGTGTGTGTGCATGTACGTGTATGTACGTATGTATTGTATGTATGTATTACTGGGGATTGGACTGAGAGTTCATGAACACTAAGCAAATGCTCTACTACTGAGCTACAATCCCAGCCCTCAAAAGTTCTTAACATTTGCAACAAGTGAGGTTCAAGAGGTTGAAACAACTACTCAGAAAAACTTACCTTCTTACATAAGTGGACACCATTAGTGAACCCACCAATTGTATGCAAAAAGGGAAATTACTTTCTCCAGGACTCTGAGACTTCTAAAAACCTATCAGGCTGTGTAAAGCTGTGCTCTTCAGAACCTTCTGGCTTTTGTTCTATTTCCCTATTCATCGATGTTTTTTCTTGAGTTGGCTATTTTTCCACAAGAGTTAGACAACAAGCATTCATGAATGACTTGATCTTCAGTGCAACCGAACACCTGAGCCAGTCATCCAGTGATTTCTGGGCACACTGAAAATTTTGTTGAGATTTAGAGGTGTTTGTTCTCTGTTCCTTAAATAAGTCCTTTTTACAGCAATGTCAGCAAAGAAAAATCAGCATTAATTAACATGATTTCAGGAGGTAAAAGCAGGAGGATAAGGGACAACACATGGCCTGGCTATGCCTCTGGGGAAAAGGAGCTAAATTCAGAATGCATAAGTAGGCTTCTGTTTGCTTAAAACTAGGAGGGCAATGCTTTGAAACCCCAGGTGGCTAACAATAGAGACCTTTCAACCAGGGGCAAATCTTCAGAGTGCTTAGTCAGTAGGCAGTTACATTGCCTTGAAGAAAGATGTGCAGATGTGTTTTGAACATTAGGACGTTTCCTTTATTTGATAAGCCTTTGTAAAACATAAATCTAAAAAGTAAATCAGCTCCTATTATAGCCCAACACCTTCTGATGGATTCCCATTTCACTAATAATAAAGCACAGCCTTTCCTTGCCCTTTGCATTAGTTTCCCAGGGCTGTCATAACAAACTACCACATCTGGTAGCTTTAAACAAGAATTTATTATCTCACAGTTCTGGAGGCAAGTATGAAATAAGGTCTCAGCAGAGGCCTCTCTGCAGCTCTAGGGGAGGTAGTGTCCTAACATCTACTGATGGCCAGCTGAGCTATGTGCTCCTACCTTTACCATATGTCACTCTCATCTCTGTCTCTTTCTATGACTTTTATCCCCACGCATGCCTCTTTTCTCTTATAATTGGCATGTCTTTTGATTAGAGCCCATCTGAATTTAGTATAACTTTATTTTGACAAATCATATTGACAAAGATCTGACTTTCCAATAAGGATGGATGATGCTAGCTTTTAGGGCACATTAACCCATATCTTCCCTGCCCACTGGCCAGCTTCCCCAGCTGAGCCTTAGCATAGTAACCTCCTTTCAACTCCCTGAGTGAACCTCACCTTATCTGAACTACTGAGTCCTAGTTGCCCAGCAATGTACTTCTTCCCTCCTCTCAGCTCTTGCCCTGGGTGGCTCCTTGTCACCGTTCAAGGCTCAATTTAAATGTTTACCACCTCAAAGAACCCTTCCTGCAGCCACCCTATCAAACCATCTCTTCCCATTATCTCTTCTCATCACCATACTTGGTTTCTAGTGTCAATCACCAGGTCAATCCCCTCTGTTCTGTACACACACACACACACACACACACACACACACACACATACACATACACATGTTTTCTTGGCTTTCTCAGCTTTCTCACTAACATGTAAGCTTGTCTGCTTGGAGTTTCATTAGATTTTTTTCTCCTCCTTATTTGGGCTAGCACTTTATAAAGTTCCTGTGAGGTGTTATGTACTAAATGAATAGTTGATTAATAAACCATCAATAAAGTTACATGCAAAACTAAATGCTCTGTAATTTGGAGGGTATGAGGTCCGTGAAACATAATCTCTGCCCTCAAAGTGTATGGGCCGGAGAGAAGAGCATAGGGAGGATACAAATGATTCTAAATTAGAATGCACTGAGTTCAAACAGAGAGGGACTAAACAGGGTCCCCCAGGGAACTGGGAGCACACAGCTCAGCCAAGCTGGCAGTCTCGGGGGAGTGCAGGGACGCAGGAGGGATAAACATGGAAAGTTGCTTTTCAGAGCAAAAGGGAGCTGGTATTGATGCAAAAAGCGAGAGTAACTGATTGTGTACGTGGCCGTAGATAACCTCAGGGGCACCTGGCACATGTGTGCATGGAGTCTGGGGAGCCACGTGGAGAGGGTAGCTAAGCACAGCTGCTGTCAGAGGTGAGGCATTCAGGGGAAGATACAGCACATGATGCCTTTCCCAGCCAGGGCCTGAAGCCCCATGTGCTCACTGAGTTCTGGCACCCACAGGCAACCTAGGAGGGTCTCCTGGCCACCCTGGGGTGTCCCAGTAGCTGGGACAGGTTGGTCATGCCAGCTTTCTTAGGTTAGTGCTTCTCTCCCTGTAGTTCCCAACCTGAGAAAACTGTTAGTTTAAGCTCCTGGCTAAACGAAGTCCAATATTCCTGAGACTGCACTGAACCTTGGTTCCAAGAGACAGCTGGCTTCAGAGAGCTGTCTTTTCTGCCTTTTTGTCCCACTCATTCTGCTCTGCCTTCTGGTAACCAGGTGCAGGTGGGTGGCACCTGGGTGAAACATTCTCTCTCAAGACTCTCACTTGTCATAAGAGGCTACAATCAACCATATGTCAAAGGAGAGGGAAATCGAGTATAGTGCCACACACATAAAATATAAAGTGTTCCTGTAATTTGCTGATTAAAATCCTGGTAGAGGAATGGCCTTCAGAAAGCACAGTAAATGTCCAGCAAGACAGCACACTTAGGTTCCTGAGGATGTGATTTTAGAGGTTGAAAAATATCATTTTAAAGATCATTTCACAGAGAAACTGCCACATACAACCAGTTACTGTTAGTTACTATTACTGCTACCTTTATTATTAATACTAATTAATACTTCTGTATGGCTTGTGGAAGTTGCAATTTCCATACTACTGAGGACAAGCCTGGGTACTCCTTAGATTCTGGTTGAGATATTGGCTGAAAGAACTTGGAAAGGAGTAGAATGAACATTACTATAAATGAAATAAAAAGTGGAATGTAAGAGCATAATTATTAATTATGCTGCTCTAGGTAGAGGAAATAGAGGTTTCTGTGAAAGTTAGATAAGCTTTGAAGGAGCACCTATAAAAAAGGCTAGAAAAGACATCAAAAAAATGGCATCAGAGAGCTCGGGTTTTAGCTTAATAGCACAAGCACCTGCCTGGCAAGTGTGAGATTATGAGTTCAATCCCTGGTACCAAAAAAAAAAAAAAAAAATGGCATCATATTCCAAACATAACGCCTTAAGAGGCCAACAATCTTGGCATGTGCTTGGTAAGTTCAGATGGCCAGGATGGTGGAACTTAGACTTTGATGGAGAAAGTGAATGATGTAAGATCAGAGAGGTAGACAGACACCAGTTCACACCTTGTAACCCAGATAAAAGAGAGGGAATAAAATTCAAAGCAATTGAATTAATTATTTGTGGTGGCAGAGGAAGTGATTTAATTTTCACTCTGCCACATCATTCTATGCAGAACAGGGTATAAAAGGGCAAGAGTAAAGCAAAGAGAACCCAGTAGGAGTCTGCACCAGAGGTCCAGATAGCAGATGGTGGAGTCTAAAATTGGTCAGCATCTATGAAAATGGAAGTGAGCGGCCAGGGACACAGCTCAGTGGCATAACTGCACCTGTCTGGCAAGTGCAAGGTCCTGAGTTCAATTCCTGGTACCAGGAAGAAAAAAGAAGAAACTAAAGTGAGAGAAGGCCCTCATTTGGGTTTTGATCAGTTTTGAAGTCTATTTTTTTCTATCTCTTACCTAAATCTTCTTTAGCCGCATGGACCCTCGTAGTCAACGTGACCAGAACATAGCATAGTGACTCTGAGTGACTTTGCATAGACAAATCAAAAGGCTCAAGGTTAGCCAGTGTGTGAAGCACCTGGGCATGAGCTGCAACACCTTCCTTCATAAACGGGTTTGACCAGCCACTCTGGGTTCTGACGGCCATTACTACCCTCACTTCTCCAAAACATGGCATGGGTTCACAGACACACAGATGGACATTGTACTTGATGCGGTTGAATTATAGTAAGTTCACTGGTTTCTCTCTCACGGGGACAAGTTGATGTTTATCAGTGAGGTGTCTCTTGACACAGAACTTTCTCCAGTCTCTAATTATACTCACAAAGACATAACAGCAGGTAGGAGATAGAGGCCAGGTGGTCATCCATGATTCAAACCACCCAATACTTCCTTTAACCAAACTTGGTAAGACTAGACTGATTGAAACCTTCTCAAGGTACTTTTCCTATTTTCATGCATGGATTCCTAGTTCTCAATACGGCCCTTGTCCTGGAGCAGTCAGTTTGAATACTTGGAGGATTTGTTCTCCCTCTCTCCTGCCTTCTCACCTTTCTCCCTGTCCTCTCTGGGGCCAGCCACACAGCCCTTACTTCCATTTCTCAAACACATGGAGGTCTGTTTCAACTCAGGACTTTTCTGTTTTGTAGTTGCCTGTGCCTGGAGCACTATTTCTTTCTGTCCTTATGCAACTGCTTTCTTCCTGAATTCAGGTATTTTTATTAAATATGATCTTGCCTTAAAGCTCTTCTCTGATCAGTCTGAAGCCTCATTCATTTCCTTCTCTATTTTTTATCTTCATGGCTTTATTCCTTTTTCTAATCATTTGTTTGTTCACTTCTGTTTTACTCTATTCCCTTCTCCCTCCGCTGGAACCAAAGATCCTCGAGGAGAAAGACCTCAGCTGCCTCATCTGCTCTGCACACAAGGTGAGAATGGTGTCTCTGCATAGGAGACACTTCAGTAAAAACTGGTTTAATGAATTAAGTTAGTGCTACAGCCTTCAGCAGTATGCCTGCTATCCTGTTAAAACCCTCCCATGCACTTCATACCCTCATCAATTTACCCTACAAGGAAGTGTTTACCATTTTTGAGCATTGTATAGCTATTTATATCTGAAATCAGACATCAAAAACAGGCCTGCCTGATATTCAAGCACCTTCTCTCTATTCCCTTTCTAAATTGCAGTATTTTGAAAACAGATAGAAATCACAGTAAAATAAGATGGAGATAATTTTCAATGTTAAGCCCCTTTTTACCTATTAATGACCTACTCAGCATAGTATCACTCATGCATCCAAGATGTACAAAGCATCTTTTCTTTTCAATACACTGTGCCAGATGATGAGAACTCCCTGGCTAAGGAGTGATGAATGGTGACCAGTTTCTTTTTCTATTTACTATTTCAACAAATGTGTAGTGAGCATCTACTTTTTTTTAACCAGAAATCGCACTCAAGACCTTGCACTTGCCAGGCAGGCGTTTGTGCCACTGAGCTATCTTCCCGGCCCAAAGAGCACCTACTATGGGCCAGCCACTATGGTAGAATCAGGCCTAACCACACTCTCTCTTTCAAAATTCTGTGCCTGCCTGTCTGTCAGAGCCTGCCACTCCATTTTCCCACTAACTATTTTTTTTGGCTCCACTTTTCAGAAGCAAAAATCATCCATCTGTGTGGCAAAACATACTGCCACAGCTTTCTCTGGCACTGTATCATCTCAGGGCAGTGGTGATCAACCAGGAAAGAGCTCCTCTTGCATTTTAAATACTAAAATTTCAAAAGAGACTGATAGCCTGAGACTGGGCTCTTGTGACTTCACTTCCCTGTGGGAAGGAATGCAGCACTCCGAAAAGCCAGACCTGCATCACCTCTTGTCCTCTGCAGTCAGCAGTTGCGTCAGAACCGTACGCACAGCAGACAGACAGTTGCACAGAGGAAGTGTGAGGGGACACCTGCTCAGATGTGATCATTTATCAGCTGCCCACTAGATCTTCATAAGTAGGGATAGTGGCTGTGTATTAGCTAAGGTTTCAGTCCTGAGACCAAACAGAAAGTCAACTTAGTGGAAGAGAGGCTTCTTTTGGCTCAAGGACTCAGAGGCTCAGTCCATAATTGGTTAATTCCAAGGCAGAAAAATGTGGAGGAAATGATGTGGTCAGGGAAATCTACTCCTTTCAAGGCAGCAGAGAAAGCAAGGAACCAGAGAAGAAAGTACCAGAGGACAGAAATACCCTTGGAAGCCAGGTACCCCACGATCCTCCTTCTCCCATCAAGCCCCAGCTTCTGACAAGCTCATTCAGCTATGAACTCAGCAATGCAAAACCCACTGGATGAAGTTAGAGCCTGAGGGTCCGCTGAGTTCCTCAAAGCCCATAACCTGGCAGACAAGCCTTCAGCACAGTGAGACATTGGGGGCACATTTTGGATTCTGACCATCACAGTCTACCCTGCCCATCACTGTTTCCCTCATGCTGAGGACACCTCCTCATCTTTGGACCTGTGAAATGATTTTTAAAACCATTTCATTATCAGAAAAACTTTTGCAATGTAACATACTTCATAATTGATGGTTACAACAAACATGGTGGAAGCCTGATGAGCTACAGGGTGGGAATACTAATACTTAAGCTACATAATTTACCAAGGTCCTCTGATTAAATGCTATTTATTAGGTTGTGAAAAGGCTTTGAAAAGCACTAAACAATGTACAAACACAAGGCATTTTGTTGTTAATCGTCAGTTAGAAAATGAACGCTCAGCAGAATTGCCTAAATAGACTCCTAAAGGAGTATGACCAAAACAAATGGAACTTTGCAGAGAAAGTATCAAGTGACAAGAAACACTTATGCAGCAGAAGAGGATTTTCTAAAATGATGGGTTTGAGAGGAATGAATCAGCAGTGCATGCCAGTTATTATTTAAGAAGTCTGAAGATACTCCTGATTAAAAACATTTTCAAGTGTGAGTTCAATAAAAATAATAAAATTCTAGGCCCAAACCTGCTTAGCAACTGTGAATAACCAGCATGCGAAAGTCTGAGTCTACATTTTGACCAGTGGAGACACCCTTAGGGCATAACAAGGGAGTGCCCATTGAATGCTTCAGGGCGCATGATTTTAGGTTACCATCCTGGAAAAGGACAGGAGAAAAACAAGCCACCTTTCTGTCCAAGAAAGACCGGTTGTATTCATCATGTGAAGGTCTTACGGTGCAAACAAAGCGCTGCCATGGAACCATGTACAGCATTTTGAATGAGTGAGTTTGTGTATCCTTCGTTGCCCAAGGTCTAGGGGCCTTAGACAGCTCCATGAGGTTATCCTGCGTCACAATCCAGCTAATTCATTCTGCCATCCCATTACATATTTCCCATCTCTGGGTCCAGGATGGCTGCTACCTCCTTTTTCAAATGGAGAGACAAAGAGACAGAGTTCAGACAGGTATGTTCATCTTCATGGTGATGACCTAGAATTTGCAAACGTCACTCCCCCATATAATCTATCAGCCCTAACATAGTTGCAAGGTCACAACTAACCACGGGGGAGATGAAGCACTAGTGTCTCTAGTTGGACAGCCATGTACCCACGTAGCTCTTTGGGGTAAGGCAGAAAGACTATTCCTCAAAGGAAGGAGGACTATAGCTAGTCTAGGACAAAATAGCATCTTCGTTATCCATGGATCATGTGTATCTTGAGTTCATGCCATGTTTGAGGAATTGTGAGAAATCCATCTGTTGTATGAAATGATGGCCTGAAAGGCTATGGTTGTGCACAGAAATAACTCACCACTAAAGTGGAGTGTAATTGTGGTAAATGTAAATCCAATATTATGAAAGTTTAGTGAAAGGAGAGATAAGTTCCCTCTGAATAGAATTTAGGAAAAATTCCTGGATAAGGGAAGATTTTAAATGAGGCTTTAAGAATGGATAAGACTGGGATAGACTAGAAACTGGAATTGAAAAAGTATGGGAAAGAAAGGGAAAGAACCTCTGGACAATGTGGAGGAATAAATTACACACCAGCCAAAATCATTTTCGTAGCTAGTAATCCATTGAGTAGCAACATATCAAGTAATCCTGCAGAAATGACCACAAAAAGCTAATAGTGCTGATGAGTGTCTCTGAAAATCCATTTGTTGCCATTTTCTTAGTAAAACTCTGGGCCTACCATGGTGACATATGCCTATAATCCCAGCACTCAGGAGGCTGAGGCAGGAGGACCACGGTGAGTTTGAGGCCAGCCTTCACTACATAGTAAGAACCTGCCTCAGAGAAAGGAATAATCCAGCACTTTTTGAAACTTCGTAATTGTAGACAATAGCCATATATTTAATGTTCTGATGTATATACATTGTATATTGATCAGATTAGAGTAGTTAGCAAGTTATCACATCATGAGTTTAGCATTGCAGTAAGAATGGTCCAAGTCCTCCATGTTGAAATATGCAACACCTTAGCATTAATTGTATTCATCCTAACACCATGCCGTAAAGCACTGGAACTTAATCCTCCTACTTCCTTATAAAGATTTCCTTGGCTCTTCACTGCTCGGTTGACAACCCTCTTTGTCTTCCCCTTCTCTCTCTCTCCCTGGTCTCATTGTTCTACTCTTTACATCATGAGATGATTTTCTTGAGATTCCGCATGTGAATACAATCATGCAGTGTATGTCTTTCCGGAACTGGCTGATATCACTTGACATAATGACTTCCAGGTCCATCCATGGATCCATCTTTATGTTTGAATATTTTTCCAGGGTAGACATGTACCACAGGTGCTTTATCCCTTCATCTATTTTTGGCCATTTAGGTTAAACCCAAGACGTGGCTATTGTAAACATGCGTGTGCAAATGTCTCCTTGACGAATGGGTCACACGATAGTTTTAGTTTTAGATTTTTAAACAACATCCAGACTATTCCATGTACATAGAGGTACTAACTTACCTTCTCACGTATAGCATATAATGCTCCTTATTTTTCTTGGATCAATACTTGTTTTCTTTTGTCTATTTAATAACGAGAATTCTAACTGGGATGAGTAATATTTTAGTGCTATTTTACTTTGTATTTCACTTCTGTTGAGTGACACTAGTATTTTTTATTTATCTGTTTTGGATATCTATTAAAGGCTTTAGTCCGTTTTTTAATTAAGTTATTTTGTTTCACATTTCTGTGTAATTATTTAAATTGCTTATCTATTCTGAATACTAATTCCTTGTCAGTTATGTAGTTTAAAAATATTTTCTTCCATCTTATAAACAGTCTCTTTGATCTGATGATTGTCTTTACTGAGTAAAAACTCTTTTTAGTATAATGAAATTTCATTTCTCTATTTTTGCCTTTGTTTCCTGTTTTTTGTGTCGCATGTTTAAAAAAGAAAAGAATCCTTACCTGGGCCAGTGTTGTGAAGAATTTTCCCTGCATTATCTCCTAGCTGTTTCACAGTTTGGAGTTTTACATGAGTCTTTAATCCACTTTGAGTTGAGATATAGATAGATATAGATATAATATAAATATAGATATAGATATATACATGAAATAGGGGTCCAGTTTCAGAGAGTCCCAAATTTCAGTTGAGTAGATTGAGCTTTCCACAGAGTTGTATGTGACCAAGTTTTAACCAATAAAGTAGAAGTGAAATTATTGCAATAAAAGTACTGTAGTATCTTCCTTAAAAAACACAATTCCTTCTCCTTTTTCTTTTTTTTTTTTTTTTTTTTTTTTTTTTTTTTTTTTTTTTTTTTTTTGAATTTAGAAATTTATTCTGAAACTCAGCTGCCAGGTCTTCATTCATGCAGTAATAAACCATGTAACATTATAGATAGACTTGTTGCATCTATTTCAAAATAACAGTTGGTTCATGAGTTACCCATTGATGTTGCATTTGCTAAAAGAAACACCAGTTCACCAGCAGAGTAACTATTTGCAAGAACA